TTCCTTCGGCACCAGCTCCGCCTTCTCAAGCTATTGTTTCGCTTGATGATCGCCCCATTGCTCTTCGAAAGGATAAACGTTCTTGTACTTACCCTATTTCTAATTTTGTTTCTGATTATGCTCTCTCACCCTCCTATCGAAGTTTTCTTGTTTCTGTTGCCTCGGTTCCTGTTCCTTCCAGTGTTGCAGATGCGCTAGCACAACCTCAATGGCGTGATGCTATGACAGAAGAACTACAAGCACTTGAGAAAAATCAGACTTGGGACATGGTTCCGCTTCCTATTGGACAAAAGACTGTGGGTTGTCGTTGGGTGTTTACAGTCAAACATAATCTAGATGGGTCAGTTGCTCGTTACAAGGCCTGATTGGTTGCCAAGGGTTATGCTCAGACTTATGGCACAGATTATCAAGAGACTTTTGCCCCTGTTGCCAAGATGAATACCATCCGTGTATTATTTTCCGTTGCTACAATTCGATCTTGGCCTCTATTTCAGTTAGATGTCAAGAATGCCTTTCTTAATGGTGATTTGCAGGAGGAGGTGTACATGGTTCCTCCTCCGGGATTTCGTTCTCCTGCTCATTCTGGTATGGTATGTCGTCTTCGTCGTTCTCTATATGGCCTTAAGCAGTCTCCTCGAGCTTGGTCTGATCGCTTTGGCACTGTTATGCTCAAGTTTGGTTTCCATCAAAGTGCAGCTGATCATACCTTGTTTTTATGTCATTCAGGCGGTAAGACAGTTGCTCTCATTGTGTATGTCGATGATATTATTCTAACCGGCGATGAGACTATCAGAATTAATGAGGTTAAGAGCTATCTTGGCCGTCAGTTTGAGATTAAGGATCTTGGTCCCCTACGATACTTCTTGGGCATTGAGGTGGCTCGCTCCAAGATTGGCATTTTCATCTCTCAACGCAAGTATGTTCTTGACTTGCTTTCTGCTTCTGGTCAGCTTGGCGCTCGTCCTGCTGATACTCCGATTAAGCAGAATCATCGGTTGGCTGATTCTGAGGGGGAGTTGTTGTCAGATATTGGTCAGTATCAACGACTTGTGGGGAAACTCATCTATTTATCCATGACTCGACCTGACATTGCTTATGCCGTGAGTGTCGTGAGTTAATTCATGCACTCTCCTCGTGCCCCACACCTTGATGCAGCTATTCGGATTCTTCGCTACTTAAAAGGGTGTCCAGGCCGTGGTATTTTGTTTGCTAATCATGGTCACTTACGTGTTGAGGCTTGGACAGATGTTGATTATGCAGGATCAATTTCAGATAGGAGGTCTACTTCAGGTTATTGTACCACTATTGGTGGTAACTTGGTTCCTTGGCGCAGTAAGAAGCAAGATGTTGTCTCTCGATCTAGTGCAGAGGCAGAGTATAGGGCTATGGCTCTTGGGGTAGGTGAGTTGCTTTGGTTGAAAACCTTGATGACAGACTTGTGCCTTCCAGTGTCGCTTCCATTCTCACTCTACTGCGACAACAAGTCTGCCATTAGCATAGCAGCAAATCCCGTTCAGCATGACAGGACTAAGCATATAGAGGTGGACCGTCACTTCATTCGAGAGAAGATCATCTCTGGTCAAATTTGCACTCCATTTGTCACAAGCTCTCAACAACTTGCAGACATTCTTACAAAGGGCGTCAGCAAGATTGTGTTTGAGAATTCATTGTCCAAGTTGGGCGTTTCAGATATCCACGCACCAACTTGAGGGGGAGTGTTAGCATTTATGATACCACGATTTATGGTATAACTTACCATAATAGCCAAGATATGATAGGCCCAAATCATGGGATGTGATTTAGTGATTTACCATATTATCTGTGATATATGATAGCCACAAATCATGTATTTGATTTTATTTACGCAGATGTCTAGGCATAGAGTATGCAATGATTTGATTTAGTTTCCTTTCTTGTAATATGAGCATGTGCTCATTTTATCTATAAATACTAAAGCTGTGAATGGGTAATTTATCTCATTCAAGCCTTTACGCAATTCTCTCTTTTCTCTTCTTTTTATATATTTCTACTGGAATCTCTTCTCATCCATGGACGTGGGCCGTTTTGGTTGAACCATGTATATCTTGTGTTTGTGTGTGATTACTTTGTTGGCTTTTGTTGGATCTTTGCGCTTCACACGCTTCCGCTGGCCAACAAATTGGTATCAGAGCTTTTGGTTCGAAGCAGGGATGTCATCCAAGTTTCTGGAAATCGAGAAGTTTAACGGCAGAAACGATTTCAACCTGTGGCGGGTTAGGATGCAGGCTTTGTTGGTTCAACAAGGGTTATCCAAGGCGCTGAAGGGGAATGATGCACTGCCAGTAAAGACCAAGGACAAAGATGAGGTTATAGAGAAAGCACACAGTATGATTTTGTCGTGCTTGAGTAACGAGGTTCTGCGAGAGGTTGCTGGAGAGACTAAGGCGGATGGGCTTTGGCAGAAGTGCCAATATATGACGAAATCTCTTGTGAATCGATTGTATCTAAAGAAGTGGTTGTTCACTCTTCAGATGCACGAAGGGTCGTCTCTGAAAGACCATCTTGACGAGGTAAATAGTATCATCATGGATTTGAATAATATTGATATCAAGATAGAGGATGAAGACTAGACTATTATTCTATTGTGTCCTCTACCACCCTCGTATGAGAACTTTGTCTATACAATGATGTATGGCAGAATTGCCTTGTCCATGGAAGGCGTGAAGGCAGCTCTAAATTCTAAGGAGTTGCAGAAAAGGGCGTTTGAGGGCAATACAGAAAGTGCAGCAGAGGGGTTATTTGTTAGAGGAAGAACGAATCAGAATGGAGGGTCTGGTAGCAAAGGTCGTTCTAAGTCTAAGAGGAGTCAAACAATTTGTTCTTTTATTACCATCTTAACCCAAAGAGCTTTTAAAAAACACACCATCTTAATTCTTCTAACCTAGCCAGATTCTAAAAGTCCCTCTTAACGCCAATTACAAACCATCCATACCTGCTTAACTAAATGCCTTGCAAAACGATGGCTTTGAGACCACCTCCAGAAACTTCCCTATTTCAACTTTCAAGGTCAAAGCTCCTCCTTCCTGTATATAAAATTTTCCAGCAAACGCAGGACTTGGGTTCAATTAAATTGAAAAGAATGCAACCATCCCACATCACTTGCTTTTCGCATAAAAATCGTAGTACTCTTCACATAATACAAAAATCTTAGCACATACATTTTCCAAACGCTAATATACATTCAAAGTATTTCCTGATTCCAACTTCTCACAAAGATCACATATAACCCTATATTCCATATAACATTGATGTAGATTAACACCTCAAAGTGCACGCTAAAAGGAAGAAAGGGGACAGGGGCGGAGGGAAGGGGGGGCTGGCGGGGGCCATGGCCCAATTTTTTGGAAATTTTTTTTTTTAGTATAGGTAAAAATAAAAATAGTATAGCATATATGGTATAAAATCTATACTTGGCACCCTTAAGAAATAAAAAATTTCCTTTCTTTAATTAGCATTTACAAAAGATAGTTTATACATAATCTAAAATAAAGTGATTTAATTGACGACTATAGAACCCCAATAAAAACATATTCACATAAAAATTTAATGTGGCTATCTTAAAATTTCAACTCAAACACCGTTCTTTCCATAATTTGACTATCTTAAAATCCTTCCAACTCAAGCACGATTCTTTCCATAACCTTATTATCCTAAAATTCCATCTCATACATGATTCTTTCCATCTCCGCCCCTGAAAGGGGAAGAGAGAAGTGAATGCTGTCCGAAGCAATAGACTCTGAGTTTCAACCATAGGCATAACGCGATTGGAGACTACTTTTGGGCTTTCCCTAAACCCACGTTGTCCAAATACTTTTTGAATGGAAATTCAGGTTGGAAGATCAGGTTACTACAGGTGTATCCAACTCCGTAAGGTGTTTGGTTACAGATCTTTTTTGTTTTTTTTGATAAGTATGTTTGGTTACAGTCTTACAGATCTTGTGAAGTCCACGTAATTGGTCCGTCCTAAAATGAAGATATTTTGTCTACTGGGTGTTTTTAAATTTGAATTAGCAACGCTCTATAGAAACAAGTCACATTTAATAATTGAGTCTAATAATGACAAACCTAACAGAAAAGGAAAAAAAAAAAAAAAAGTCTACTATTGACAAGCCTATCTGAAAAAAAAGTCTAGTAATGACAAACGCAGCAAATTAATCATTAAAATGCTCTGAAGATGTCAACAATTTAAATTACTAGAGTTCACAATTTTTAAGTAGGACCTGGGCCGAGAAAACTTCCATTAATTAAATTAATTCATAGCAAAGTGCCACAGCTCTTATGGTATATCCTATATAGCAAATTATCTTTTTGCCAAACATGACTGTATGCCTTCGCATTAGAAAAGGAAAAAAAAAATTAAAAAATCCCCGATACATACGAACAAATTATAGACTACCCTCGCATTTGGACTTGGGTACCCTGTCAGGCAAACACACGAGACTTCTCTGTATATACCAATTACAATAATGGTTGAGCAAGAAGGTCTGACACACACACACACACACACACACAACAAAACCTAGACCGTGGATAATGGCCCAGCTAATCATCCAAATGTTGAGCTCTTGTCTGACTTAGATCAACCTGAAGTTCATTCTTACAGCAGGCTGAGCATGTGTGGGGCTACTAAGCTATATTAGTCTCTGCTTCAGGCTGAGTTCCGTCTGACCTCAGCAATCAGTGCTTTCTAGTCCTAAATTGAATTGTATTGAAAATTGAACCATAACAAGGGGATTAGTCTATTCCATGTTTGCACTCACCGGGTTTGCACTGGAGTACTTGGATCGTCGTGTGTTTGGTTATGATCATTTAGTTCCTGCTCATCATGGATTCATACTTGTTTATCTGATACACTTGACATGTTAGTGATGGTTTTAGTTTGTGCCTTTTAGGCTTTGATGGTATTGCTGCGCAAACTTCTATGTCCTTTAACACGAGCATCCTGTTTTAATTGCCATCAGGTTCCAGTCAAGAAAACTCAAGTTACTGAAGAAAAAGTTGCTAATCTGGATTGCTCTAGAAAAACTCCAAAGTCCCCTTGGATGCCCTTTCCAATGTTGTTTGCAGCCATCTCAAAGAAAGTCCCTGCTAAAGATATGGAACGGATAAATACTTATTATGAGTTATTCATGGTATGCAAGTGTGATGGGATATGTTTGTTTCTATCTCGTTATTTGGATGTATTCTTTTTAGTTTTGTGATTTTTTTCCTCCTTGATCTTTGTCAGAAGAAGAATATAACTCGGGATGAATTCATCAGAAGGTTGAGGTGCATAGCTGGGGACGCTTTGTTGAGGTCTACAATAACAGATCTTCAGTCAAAGGTATGGTTAATACTTCTTGTGATTTAATTGCTGTGAGAATCATTTTATGGTGTAGGCTGTGCAACGAGTAGCTATGATTTTGATATATCACAGGCTAGATTAATAATTATAAATTCGTAAATTTTGTACATGAATAAGATTTCTAGGCTATCATAGATGAAGGTCACATGTCATGGTTCTCATTTGACCTTAAGTTGTGGCCACATGATCAAAGGATTGTAACTATGCCCCGCGCCTAGGTTCCATAAAAGTCCCAAGCTCGTCAAGGCTCTGCCAGAGTGCCTCTTAAACTGGTACAAGCCAGACCCCTTCAGTCAGGCTCACATAAAGCTCTCAAGCTCGTGCTTTTAGCAAGCTCCAAGCTTTAAAAATGCGTGCCTTTGATTTTTTAATCATTAATTCTGTTTCTCTTCATTTTAAAAGAATATGAATTTACATTTCTACACGTCTTGGTCATGTTTGATGGATTACATTGTTTAGTCTTATGGTATGTTTGACAGAATAAATGGGCTTATGGTGACTACTTATGTTAATTGTTTGCAATACTTGATTCCACATTTTTATTTTAACTAATAATTATTACACACATGCCTTACTTTTTAGGTTCTCACCTTACATTGTGCCTTGCGCTTGAGCTCCGGAGACTTGCCACCTTGAGCCTTTAATAACTATGATATTTAGTATCTAGCTTTATGGTAACTTGTTACTGTCAATACCTGTACTATGTTTATGGTCCTCCTCAAGATTTGAGAGAAACACCCACCTAGAAGTGTGACCCTTGGTGCATAGGATGGGAAAAGAATGAAAACCAACATTCTACTTTATAATCACATTTGTGAGCAGATGGGCTTCTCAGACTTTGTTGACACCTTCATGTGTTAAATCCTTAGAGTCCTTGTTTGTTTCTCTTACAGAAAAATCTACCTCATGATTGGCTAATCTATTGATTAAAAAGGAAAATGAAAAAAGAAGCCGTTGCGTGAAAGTTAACCCAATGTCTGTGTAGCTATCATGATGGACTTTGCCCAGTTGCCCTGGATGGGTCTAGTCAGCAAATCTCTAATAATTTCTGAAGGTTTTTTTTTTGCCCTTTTCTTTTGTGATCGAGGACCTAATTTAATTGCATATAAGCTTTTGGTTTGCAAATACTCTTCTTTTCTCCAAGTACACCAATTGATTGCTAGAAAGCCTATATCTACAACATTTTGCATTGGGTATGCTAAAACCTTTGAAAGGAAGAGTGGGAATGAGGAATTTTTTCTAGAGGAGATAGATAGGAACTAATTCTTGAAAAACTTAAAGGAGATGTCTTCATCTCTTAAGGCTACACGGAAGTGAAGAAAAGAATTACTTTTTATTTTATATATATATATATATATATATATATATATATATATATATATATCCTTGTAGGAAAAGAGAATGCTTTCTGTTACATTCTCTTTTTATATATATATATGTAACAAACATCAGGGGAGGGCCTTATGTGATCTTTTAATTGGAAATGGTCTGTAGGACACCTTCTAAGTTAGCTGTCCAAGATAGATTCCAAATCAAAGAGATCTTGAAAAGGGTAGCTCAATTCATTAATGTGTGGTGACCATTAGGAGGTCTTCAAATATTCTCATTTAGATATGAAGAAGGGAAGCATCCTACTGGTCTAAGAAGCATGATAGCTAAGAGTCGTTTTACCCTTTTTTTTAAGAGCCAATTTATTTATTTATTTATGTTTTGGTCATGGGCTAATTTCACAACTTAACTGGTAAAGTCTAGGCTAGAAAGTTTCAATAGCTGCAAGAATATCTCCTATGTGGAAGCTGTATTTGAGAGTTACGTCGCCCTTGGACAATAGAACCCTCTATTCAAATTCTCCAACCTATTTTGTTGAAATATACTTGGAAGTTCAAAAAGCATGGTTGCGCTCTGAGGATGTAATATGGAAAATAATGTCATTATAATGAAATTGGAGGATCATCAATACCGTCTTTTAATAGCCTCGATTGCTTAATTGTTCTAGAAGAGTTTTGAATGATCCCCAGCTGTGTTGTTAATATAACTTGCAGAATTGCTGATGCTGAAGCAACCTGTTATTCAAAATATCCATGTGGATCCAAAACCCTTTCGTCATCAACAAATATTCAACCTACACAATTGTGGTCTTCCTCCAAATCTTGTTCAAGTACTCTTTGCACATTCCTTGTGTTCATCAATTAATTTTTTTGCCTTTTCTCTTCTGTGTGGGTTCGTCAATGCATTAATTTGCCATTCCAATATTATCAGTTATATGTCCAGCTAAGACAAAGCCAACTTGACGGAAACTGTAATAGGTTCAGACTGTTCAGTTGAGGAGACTATTATTGAAGTCGATATTAAAATTAGATAAATATACTTGTACATGAGGTTTGGAGAAGGGTGATAGGGTATTGTATTCAGTGTTATTCAAGGCTCAAGGCGCACCAAGGCGCTAGAGGTCCTTTGGAGCCTAGGCGCGAGGCACACGGCGAGGCGCGCACCTGAGTGAAGTGAGGCGCACAATTGAAATTTTAAACTACCATAGTAGCATTCATATCTCACAAGTCATATCAATATTCTAAAAATTAATATCAAATACAAAAAAGTAAATCCATCAACTATATAAGCATTCAAGAACCATAAAAGGTAGCACAAATTTGTTTCTTGAAAGTCAAAACAGAGTACAAAAATAAATAAATCTATTAAAAAAAATTGTTAACAAGAAAAGAAAAAAAAAAAAAAATAGAGCCAAAAAAGAAAAAGAAAAAAGAGGCAGAGACAAAAGAAGTAGATGAAGATAGAGTAGTAGATGAGAAAAGAGTGTGTGTTAAAGAAGAAAAAGGAGAAAAAAATAGAGCCCAAAAAAAAAAAAATGGACGAGAGAAGAGAACTAGACGGAGAGAAAGAAGTAAACAAAGATGAGAAGAGAAGAGTAGAGGAGAAGAGAGGAGAGAGAAGTAGAGGGGAAGAGAGAAGAAGAAGAAAGAACTGACATGGCTTCGTCATTCGTCTCTGCCACTAGGGCTTCATCGTTGTTCTCACAGTCTCACTCTTTCTATGTTTGGTCTTGGACTTTCTTATTTGTTTATTCTTTTGAACAAAAGATCCTTCTTTGATATGCTTAGACTTTCTTATTTGTTTATTAAGTTGCCAAAAGTACCCTTTTTGGCTTAAGGGATAGAACAATCGTAAAAAAAAAAACAAAAAACAGTGAGGCGCACCTAGACAAATAGGACAAGGCGCAACCGAGGCGCACGCCTAGTAAACCTCAGTGAGCCTAGGATAACAACAGGCGCTAGACCTATGCCTCGAGCCTAGGCACGCCTTTAACAACACTGATTGTATTATGGTGGTTGCGGTGTAATTGAAATAATAAATGTACACGTACTTGAGGTTTGGAGTAGGGTGATAGTGTATTGTATCATGGTGGATGATGTGTAATCGAAATAACTTTCTTCCTAGTTGTTCAACTGCCATAATTTACCTATTAGGACCATATAACAAAAATCACGATTTAATATATATCCTAGTCCTTGGTTGTACTTTTGTCCTGGGATGGCTGTGATAGATGGAACATGTTTGGCTCGTGATTGGAAGTATTGCCAGTGATCGAGTTCGAGTCACCCAAGTGATCTTGGTATGGTTGGCTTTCCGACCTGAAAATGAGACAAGATAAGCCCAGTACTATTTTTAAATGCAACGACATCATAATGGCGGGGCAAACCTTGATTCTTGTTTGATCTGAGATGATGTTTCCAATCATGTATTGATTTGTTTGGATAGTTGGCTTTCTGTAAGTGTGTGTGTGTGTGTGTGGGTGTGTATATATATAGCACTAATCTCCATATCTCAATTAGATGGACATGATATGCATATTATTTTCAATATACCATGATGTCCAAACAGCACATGCCACACCTTAGGCTTGAAGATCTGTTTTTTACTATAATTCATTTCTCAGTCCCTCTAGTCCCAATTTCTGTAGATCTAAATGTTAATATTCTAGATTCAAGCCTATTGATGTATTTATTTAATTATTTGTAATTTTTTCAACCAATTAATGAAAATTTGAATAAGATCTTTGTACATATATGCTTATGATTTAGTAAGAAAAAAATGAAGGATCAATTCACATGATTAGATCAAATGAAATGATTATTATGTATATTGTGTCAGACTAATACCGTAATTGTATATTGTATCAGACCGATACAGTAATGGCATGTGTTAATGTTTTAGATATTTTTGTATGTTGTAGCTGCTTTGTTTTGTTTATTTTATACATCTATGTTGTTATTATTTCTGATTCTTTCAAAATCTTTGTAGTTTTTAAGCCCTTGTATATAGGACATCTTTGTGCATTGCCCTATTTTGATTTGATATGCTGTCAGTCAGTGATTTGACACTGTAGACCCTGATTCTGTGATTGAACCATGATTTCTAATTGTATTTCATATTTTTACCCAGCTATAGAAGCTGTAATAAAATCTATTCAATTATGTTGTCTCGTTGGTATTGTAAAGCTCTGATGCACTTGGGATGGAGGACGTACCAGTGTCAGACACATGTTCGACGACACGCGTGTCCGACACTCCCCAGAAGTCTCTCTCTCTCTCTCTCTTTCTCTTTCTTCTACCCATATTGGACACGCTGTTCTGACTTTGGCCGGAGTTCCCTTGTGGAAGATGGATGTGGTCAGAGGAGATAAGATTGTAATCTTATCTTCTTTTACAACTTGTTTGGTCACAAGGATTGTGTCTTTTGGATATAGAGATTTATGTATTTATATTTGTATTTTAATAGAATTTGGGCTTATGGACCTTTATATATATTTATATTTATATTTGTATTTGTATTTGTATTTTCAAAAGAAATTTAGTCTATCTGGTGGTCTTTATTTAAATGGGATATGTTTATGAATATATATGAGAAATTGAGCAAAAGTTATTTTATATATAAAAGAAAAAATTATATTATTATTTTATTGCCGTGTCCGTGCCTTAATTTTTTTTTTTAAATTGCCGTATTGCCTGTCCATGTCAGTGTCTTTACTTCATAGTGTGCAGCATTAGCAACTCATGGATGTGCTGTAGTATATCAGGAGACATCTCTGGGTTATACCTTAATCGAAGGAGGATATGCTGCCAAGTGTCAAAAATTTGGAGCTTTATGTCATTTTCAGTGTCACAGAATGTGGAATCTCCTTGTTAAATTGTCCTTTAATATGCTTCTCCTGGCTTTGTTTGCAGAGGATATCAAAGTCTAGTTGTGAGTTGGTTGCACCAAAAGAGGAGGTAGGAAGTTCAGGTGGACGCAAATAATCTGAATCACATCTCTGCCTTTTTGTTTTGTTTGGTCTGTTAACTTCCTTAAAAGACTTAAGGTTTCGAATATCAGAAGACAAGGTCGTTTGATGCTTTTATGGTAGAAATGCATCGTCATGAACTTGTGTTTATCTTGGTGGACGTGGTCGAATGGGTACTTAAACACTGTTTGGACTTTTGTTTCCTTTTTGCTAGTGAATGTTTATCCTCAGCTTTAAGCCGATACGTGGTAACTAGTCGAACTCCTTTTGGATTTGCAACTGATACAAATTCTGCCCTTTGCAGATGTATATTTTTCTATTTGAACTTTTCATCTGAATGTGAATGTTTCGTCTGTTCAATTTTCATCACGTACTTGCTTAAAAATTATAGGCAATTTCTTAACATTGTTTTTGGTTTTTCAGTACCGAGGGTTAGCTCATTGCTTGAAAACATTAGGCGTGTATAATGTAAATAGCTTTTGGAGTTCATGCAGGCTGCATTTGGAAAATTGTGGAGGATAATTGGAGATTGGATTTTCTTCGAACCACCTTCATTTTGGCATATCGATAGCCGGAGTCTGCAATTAATGGGTTAGTGGCCTAGCAGTATCAGTCTTTTACTTCTCAAAGGGAGGTTAGGGATTCAAGTTTTAGAAGAGACGTGAGAACTAACTAACTAAAAAAAAAAAAAATGATGATAGCTGGATTTACATTCTATTTCCCTAAGATTTGAAGTGCCACTTAATATTGTTTCCAAAGAACTCACTCTGAAATATAATCTACTTGGTTCTATAGAAGTTATTAAAGCCTGAGCTCTCCTCATCTTTTCTCATGTAGTGGAGTAAAAATATAGCCACTATGGTTACCTGCAGTCTTAAGTAGTTTCACTTCGGGCGGACTTGGACAATTCATAAACCCTAGATAGTGTTTTGGAAGTTGTAGGATCAAAATGTTTGTTGGATTGTTAAAAGGCTCCATAATGGCTTTTGCAATATAAGCAATGCAAAGGCTTAGAGACATTGCTCGGTTTGGTCCAATTCTGGAATGAACTAGAATTAAATTGGTCTCAGCGATCCTAGAAATTATAAAATTGAACCGTTAAAATTTAGGACTTGGTAATAGAACCGAACTGAGCCATAAATGATCGGTTTGGTTCAGTTCGATTTTATGGTTTTGGACTCAAATTATATAGAGACAGAATATTTTTATAAAGTTATTAGTCTTGCAAATATTGATCTTATGTCAATTCTATTCCTAGCTTACTTAAATAATAATAATAAAGTGTAATTTTTTTTTTTATAGTAAATTTGATGATGATTTGAAGGAATTCAAATCTAAAACGCTAAAGTCGCAAAGAAAGCTAAATAAATAATAGAAGGAAAAAATTACAAAAACAAATTAAGAATAAAAGTTATGAACCATCAATCCATCTATGCATCTTGAAAGTACATTTGGATGATTTTCTCAAAATATAAATGTACATAATAACTAAGGATGGTCACAGATCGAATTAGATTAAGTATTAATTCTAATCCAATCTGTTCTCAACAGATTAGACAAATTTTAATCCGCCATCGATGTGTTATCTCACGGATTGGATTGAATCCGCAAATTGAGTTTTACTTAAATTATCTGTTATTGTTTTTATAATTAATATTATTTATTATTTATTTATCTTTTAACCATAGCCTGATAGATAAAATTTTAATTTAATAATATTAATTTATATATTTAAATAGTTATTAACTAATACATTCTTAGATTAACTAATTAAATTAACTAATATATTATTTGAAAATATATAAATAATTTATTGGATCGGATTTTAACAGTCTAATCCGTAAGTTACGAATTCGATTTTCTTGAATCCGCCACCAATCCGTGGGTATTGGACTGATCAAATTCACAAATTATTTATCGGCCCTAAATATAATTATTTACAGTAACATCTAAAAGGATCCGTCACACTCATGACACAACTTAAGATTTCAAATGTAAGAAAATGTTTGTTTCCGTTAATAATTCAACCATGCATGAGTAGAAAATATGGATGCTAAGTCTCCACTGCGTTACTCTATTAAAATGTAGAACATGGAAAGTGTAACTTATGTACAATTGCAAATGTCGTATTCTCCAAGTGGTTGGATTGATCCTCGTGTTTGGGAGTCCATGGTCAAGTTTTGCATCCTCTCCCTACCCTCTAACAATTTACTGCTAACCCTTAACATTCTTGCCCTGAATATATATATATATATATATCCTAGATAACTAAAGGTAAGTGTTTGTTTGTTTTTGTTTTTAAACACATATTATTTATCACTTTTCTGATTTTATAATTACGATCTATTTGTGTATTTGTGATTGAATACACCAACGGTCAGTAGAGATGCCATACTCACCGGTGAGTAGACAAGTCTTGTTCTTAGGATAAATGATAATATCATAATATAAATAAGGCGGGTAATAAAATGACAATATCATAACATAAACGAGGCGGGTGATAAAATGACAACATCTTAACATAAACGAGGCAGGTGGAGTGACCTTAATTCCTCCATAAAAAAGAAAAAAGAAAAAGGAAAGGACAACTACACACTATATATTTATATTATTATTATCATTATTTTTATTTTAATTTATAAATGTCAATTGCATTATTGTTTTTCATATACACATTATCGAATGAAGTTTATATATATATATATATATATATATATATAATTTTTAATGATAATTTATCCGTGTGTCCATCTACATTTTTATTTCCCTATAAACATTTCTCGTGGATAATAAATCACATATTATGATAGACTTTTCATTTTGGAAGATCGTCCATCCACATTCTTATTTACTATATATATTTTAATGATAATTAACTCATATTTACTATAAATTCATTTCTCTATATTTTACACACACAAACACCCACATGTTTTATGAATACTAATATATTGATGATATTATTTTAATATTATGTTTTATTGTGAAATAAAAATTTTAAATTAATATTTTTGTTTTTGAATGATTTAAATATTTTGTAATTGTCTTATATATGCATTAGGACGTTCACTTATTTATTTATTTATTTATTTTTTATTTTTTCGGAAGGTAAAATGTAGTACGTACATTCACTAGCATAGAGCCATATATCAATAAATAAAGATGGTGGTAGTGTTTGAAAATTTTAAAATAAAGTGGTTAATCTTTTTGGAACGTGATTATGGCCTTCCTTCTTAATAATGTAATAACTTCATGCATAACCCGTTTTGCATTTACAGCTTAGAGTTATACAATGGCACAAATTTTGGTAGTCTATGAAAGTATTTGTTGACAATTTTGACTATGTTATCTATACACACACACACATTTATATATCATAAGAGAAAATGGAGTGCTTTAAGCTCATTATAAATTATCTTATTTATTATTATTTTACTTAGCATTTTAATTGGTATTAAACTTGTAGCCCGTTACTTAGTGGAGTAGTTTTTTTCTTTGGTTAATTAATATTAGTCAAATGGAAAACAATAATAACATTGTACCAAATTCAAAATTTAATTAAGAGGAAATAAAGTTTATACACGAGATGGTATATTATATAAACTCCATAACAAATGATCTAATAGTGACAGAGTTGTCTTGCTCCTTTTGTTGAATGTGCAGAATGGTGAGAAATGTTTTTGCTATATGATTCTCTCTCTCACACACACACACTCACTCTCTTTCTCTTTCTCTTTCTCTCTCATCCTCCCTTGATTCTTAATATATATATTATGTTTCATGCAGGAACTATCAAGCATTTTTTCACTATTTTGCATTGCTTCATTAAGCTTAGGCACTGTACTAAAAATTGAAGCACAAAAGATTTTTAATGTGATTGATTATGGTGCCGTCGGAGACGGCATAACAGATGATTCCTTGGTAAATTTTTAAAGAACTCTTCATTTCTTAATTCACAGTATATAGTATTATATAGTTTAATGTATTGTACAAATAGAACTGTATAGTATGCATGCATATATATGTATATGCATACTACTTTCTCTGTCCTAAAAAAGAGACACAGAAAGTAGTATGCATGCATATATACATATATATATATACATACATATTAATTTGGCACAGAGGCAGTATATTCTAAGATTATTTTATTTTATTTTTCCAAAATAAGTTGATAACAATAATGTAATAATATGTGTTTACTATGTGAAATTGAAAGGCATTTGGAAAGGTATGGAAAGATGTATGTGGAGAAAGTGAAAGCATTCCCATCCTTAATATACCAATGGGGATGACATTCTTATTAAAGCCTGTCAACTTCAAAGGTCCATGCAATTCCATCACTGTTAATGTTCAGGTACACTAATAAGAACATATAATGTACATATGTATGTATGCACACACACACACACACACACACATATATATATATATATATATTTGATCAAATAATTCATTAATGATCCAATTTTTGTCCAGTACTCTAATTTTAACTCTAATTTTATTTTTCTAAAATATGGGGACAGGTTTTAGGAAATATTGTTGCACCTGAAAGTATTTCTGCATGGGGAGATTATTGTACTGATGATTGCTGGCTCAAATTTGAAAATGTGGATGGTCTCATCATCAATGGAACCGGACAGATTGACGGCAAGGGTTCAGCTTGGTGGGGGGACCAAGTTGACCATTTCAATATTTTGGTTCGTTAACAAACTACGAACCAGATTCCCTCCAGTTCTAAACAGTGCAGTTTTGATATACTCGTATGGTCCCGTAAACTGTGTGGGGCTCCGTCCCGAGTGAAGCACAGGACAGGAGGGGATCCACTCTCCTAAATTATACATTTTCATGCCTGTATTAGGAACTCCTCTTTTCTTTCATTTTTTTTTTTTTTTTTTCATCACATCTGATGCAAAAACTCACTTTGTTAGGAGGAGATGGACCATAAGTTTCTTAAACCTTTGAACAAGACTAAGGGGGAGGAGAAAAAAGGTTGTCAACGCCCAACGGTGAGAAATCATTATTATTATTATTTTCTAAATATTGATAGATCTTTATTAGTCACAAATAAGATTTATTTATTTATTTATTTTTTTTTTTTTTGAGGACAAAGAAACAAAAAAATTGTTAAATTTTTTTCATTTGCTCACTATTTTGGGCTAAACATGTAATTAAAATGGTGCAGGCTCTGCATATACAGAACTCTACAGGTTTTGAATTAAGTGGACTAATCCATCTCAACAGCCCAAGAAACCATCTCTCTATATGTGACTGCAAAAATGCAATTATCTCCAACATCACCATAATTGCACCTCAAAAAAGCCCAAACACTGATGGCATTGACATCTCTTCCTCAACCAATGTTTTAATCCAAGACTCTTTCATTGGAACTGGTAAATTTACAACCCTTTAAATATACATTTTTATTAATTTATTTGAAATGCTACAAATTGTCATCTATACAGATATGTAATACTCATATCATCTAACAGATAAGGCGTTGATCGTGAAACTGATTGTTTCCTATTTTTTATGCATTTTGGTTCGTAGGGGATGATTGTGTAGCTATCAATGCTGGCTCCTCTTTCATCAACATTACAAACATCAGATGTGGGCCAGGCCACGGCATAAGGTTTGTCAAAAGCCTATCATCTATATGCTTTTCTTAAGTTCTAATTAGTTATAGTCAAAGACATGGCTTAGGATTTGCCTTTTGGTCAAACTTGTAACTAGACTTCCCTCATGTAGAGCCAATCAATATGAAAAAATAGTCAAAAATGATAAAAGTTTCTATCGGTTTTATTATCGATCATTGTTTATTGCATCTAACTAGAATGAATACAAGCAATGTAACTTTCTCCCTCTCTAGTGTGGGAAGCCTTGGAGAAGATGGAAAAGATGACACAGTAGAAGAGGTGAATGTGTGGAATTGCATCTTTAATGGAACTGAAAATGGAGCAAGGATCAAGACTTGGCAGGTAATGAGGATATATATATATATATATACACACACATATATATACATGTCACTATTGTACGTACACTAATTGAAGCATATTATATAATGTGTTTGTAATTTTTATTCTTAATTTCTTCAGGGGGGATCAGGGTATGCAAGGAATATTGATTTTCAAAACCTTAAACTTATAGATGTCTCTAACCCCATTATCATTGATCAATACTACTGCAATGGTGGAGATGATTGCAAAAACGAGGTAACACAAACAATATCTCAGAAGGAAATTTATTTAGAGTCCCACAGTAGGACAACTCCTACTATTTTGACATGATAGCTGATGTCATAATGATGTCAGTTTCCGAATTGTCCGGCTGTCGGACTCTGTATCATGACACAAAACTGATAGATTGATGTACATGGGTGTTAATGCAGACATCAGCAGTGGAGATAAGCAATGTGACATTCAGTGGAATTGTAGGATCATCAGCCACAAAAGAAGCAATTGACTTGAGGTGTAGTGAGAGCAGAGCTTGTGTGAATATTAAGATTGACAACATTAACATAACCTCTGCACAACCTGGGAAGAACATCTCTGCTTTCTGCTACAATGCCATTGGAACATTTATATCGGATACACCAACTGTGATTTGCTCATCATCACTTCATTAATTTTGTTATTGATATCATGGTCCTCATAGTTTCATTGTAAGGACTGTGATCTTCTTGTTAGGTAAAAAAAGTTGGACTTTGAATCTTTTTGTACAATTTGCGCATCATTTCTTATTAATGAAAGCAGATTAATGTTGTTTGGCATGTTCTGAGTTATATATGCAAGACTAGTGGTAATTTGGACAATTTATGGTGGAGCTAAAAGAGTAAAAGATCAGTGCATATAAGAAATCTTGTATATCTATATATATATATATATATATATATATATATATATATATATATTTTCGGGGATATTATTAGTAACTAAATCAAATACTCATTGGGTATGTTCCGCTGCATAGAATTAGAGTTTTGAAATTAGAATTTGTGGAATTTGAGAAAAACAATTAAGAAAATTGAACTAAAATTTTCACCAATTCCAATTCCAAGTATGTAAACACATCCATTGTGTTTCTAACAAGAATTCGAAGCATCAACCTTCCATTTGAAAAGATGAAGATATATCACTGACTTAACTCTTTATCAAAATCGAGTTTAAGTTACGCAACTTAAAATAAAGAAGAGACAAATTTGGGAGGAGAGAATGTGAAGTTCCCAGCTTGAATGCTAGGTAAACAGAGACGGGATGTTGCAAATGAATTGAGTCGAGTTCAAGCAATCTGAGTTTTATATTGTTCAAGCTCAGCTCAGCGCAGCTCAGCAATATCACAAATGTAAGAATATGGGCTTTTAAGTAAACTTACTTGTTCATGAATTTAACTAGCTGATCTTATTGTTGTTCAAATTTAGTTCGTTTATTAAATGAGTCTATCTAAACACCTAGTATTGTTGAACAAGTTGGTTCATTTGTAGCAGCAAGGACACTGCTAAGTTTGTCATGAAATATTTATGGTAAGGCTGCTCTTAGATAGTGAGACTGCAATTCATTTGCATGGAGCTTCTTAAGCCTATATGGTGTCAATGTCACTTTCGAGTTTTGAATTGCCAAACAATCTCATTTATGAGAGAAAATTTAAATTAATGTCACCTGAGAGTATTGTTTTAAAAAATTGTCACCGCATACATGATCAAATGTGAATTTTAAATTACAATAAGCAAAATTATGACAAATTTGAATCATTTTCTTTCTTATTTATTTTTTAAGTGATAGGATCACGATTAAACCAACCACTCAATAAAGCCAACTATGGAAGTCAGTCCTTTACTGAGGGTGGGGCATTTAAATAGAGCTGTTCATTTCATCGGTTAATCCGTGTTAATTCGTGAAATCGATCCGATTAAAGCCGATCCGTGTATATTAGATTGGCTTTTTAACTTCATGGTTTGGTTACCGATTAATAAATGAAGAATCTATAATCTACGGATCGATTAACGGATTGGGGTCTTAGAAAATCGATCAGATCCCTTAACCAATCCGATCCGTTCAAATTTATATATATATATATAATATATATGTACACACTATTTCTATTTTTTATTATTATTTTATTATTTTAAATTTTACTTACTTTTAACTCTAAACACCTACTAAATTTTAACCTTAAAAGACCTACGAACTTTTAAATTTACTAAAGGTTGAAATTAAAAATAATAAAATGGACTATTTGAAAAAAGCCCAAGTGAAACCAATCTGATTCGATCCATGAAAATACTTAATCCGATTTGATCCAATCCGTAAAGCAAATAATTGAATTGGATTCCATTTTCAATTTTTCACCTATCTATAGGAATCAAATTGGATTAGGTTTCATGATTAATCCGATCCGTAGTTACCCATATTTTTAAATGGGACTTAATGCATCACAGAGTGTCATGCTCAAGGTATATGTGTTATCTAGATAGTCCTGATTAGGGATGTATAAGAAAATTCCTTGCGGAACCAGAACCGTTCCCAACGGTTCCTAGTAATTGAAATCGGAACCGTTGGGACATGTAATCGAAATCTAACCGAACCGATTCCATGGTTCTGTTTCAAGTTCCCTTTTTTTTATTTTAATAATAAATAAAAAAAATTAGCAATACCTTGACTAGGGCAATTCCTTGGGTCACATTTACATCCAAACAAGCATACATAGGCATATATATATATTTTTGGGTAAATATAGGCATATATATTAGTAATTATATAATAAAAAATAATAATATATATAATTATTATATGATTCTGGTTCCGGTTGGAATTTAACGGTCCCTTGTACACCCATAGTCTGATTACATATATGTACAATAGGTAGAGTGATGTATTGTTCAAAAAAAAAAAAAAAAACATTATCCTTCGTAAAATAGAACTTCCAAAGATATCAAAACTAGTAGAGACATTACTTGTTTTTCTTATATTTGATTAACGTGTATCATGATATGATTGGACGATATTAGAATGAGTTAACCAATTTAAGATTAGTTTGACTCAAATAAAAAGTGTTAACCTTTTTTCTTTTCTTTTTTTTTTTTTTTTGCGATTTACTTCTTAACATTATAAAAAATATACTATTTTACAGATAACACAATAATATCTCTGTTGTAACGAGAAGGTTAAAATAGGTACTGTTCAAATAAAAGAAAATTATTAAATGAGTATAAGAAGCATATCGAATTGATATTCTTCTTTAAAAAAATTTTGTTCCATTTTCCTTTTTTAGTTTGAGAAAATGTTTTTAAAGTCAACAAGTTCACCAAAATCTCTTGACTTGGAAGCATTTGATTGGTTATATATGTAAAATAATAAAATATATTTTGTCCAATCAACATTGTTCGATTAAGGAATTACGGATAACTCCTCAACTTAAATATAGCTACACTTCATTTTGTTCTCTTCTTTTTGTAATTTCCCATTAATTTTTCTTTCTTCTTCAATCTTTCATTAATTTCCCATTTCATGTTTCCTTTCATTTTGTTTTCCCTGTTTTTGGAAAAGAGTAAAGCATGTGACAAAGGCCAGGAATAAATACAACTTTGTTTGGGAAAAGATATACTATTCCTTTGTTAAATGTAAGTGCCCCTATTACAATTACCAAGGATCACTTCATACTTTAAGATGGATAAAGCCTAAAGAGTAAAGACTCTCTCTCTCTTTCTCTCTCTCTCTCTAGGTGCAGAACATACAAAATCAATTGGATTTCATACTAAAATCTCACAGTTTGATAGATAGATAGGACATTCTTTTTTCCACCATTCTCCCTTTTGTTGCTTTCTTTCTTTCTTGTCCTCCTTGTCTTTCTTTAGTTCTCTCTTTTCTTTTTCTCCTTTCTTTTCTTACACACTTTTCTTTTCTCTTTGATTTTCCCAGTGGGGTACCTGATTCTCTTCACCAGCATCCCTTCTTATATATATATATATATATAATGATTTCAAAATGAGTAAGTAGTACCCTTTTGAGATATTACTGTGACCTTCCCAAGGTGAACTCCAAATTGGGCTTCTTTGGGCTTATCCCTGAACATTTTGGTGAGCTTATATCTGATATTCTCTCATAGCTTAGGCACTTTTGTTCCATGTCTTTCTGAGAAAGAAAAAGAAAAAAGAAAAATATTATATATATATTTAGAAAGGGAAATTTAAACTGAATAGAAAGAGCATTAGCAAAAGATAAGTGTGTTTAATGGAGAATCAAAGGACATTTGACTCGAGGAATAAGTAACATAAATCAATGTATGCTAGCATACATTATAAAGCAATCCTCCAAAGCAATACTATTCATTCCCTATTATCATAAGTCATATATATATATATATATATATATATATAATATGTTTCATATTTCATGAGCATTATATCGGACAATTTGGGGTATTTCTTGGGTTCTTTTTTATGGCATTGCTAGGGTTGCTGTGTTTGTTGCAGTGATTTATCTGTAACTGTTTTTGGATAATGTGGGCTTTTCTAGACGGGACTGTTTTTTTGGGGTAATCCCCAGGCCTCTCTGCATTTATTTTTTTCCATTTTCATTAAGTCAATATGCTTCACTTTTAACCAAAAAAATTAAATAAAAATCTACACCATCTATCATGATTTACATGGGTGTATTGCATCAAGGTATTAATCAAGGTCTAATACAAGGTATTAAGACTGCATTTATTTGGTCATAGAAACTTTCTATGGGTGTATTGCATCCGTTGGCTAAAACAATTTCTTGAGGAACTTTTCTTCTTTGTTTCTTTATGACAAAATTGACCCTTTAATTTCTCACTAGGACTAGGGCTAGCTTTTGAAATGCTTCTGTCCTTTTACCCATACTTTACTGCCCTTTTACCCCCTATTACACATATATTCGCATGTAGCTAGACATCTATGTATGACTGTACATCATATCAGTAATAAATAAAAGGGTATTTCAGTAAATGTTGAGAATGGTACCTCAAAAGATGGTAAGTGTCCTTGAAAATCCCTTGGTTTATTGGGATGGTCATGGAACCAAGCCTCCCTGCTACAAATCAGTGCATTGAGAGAATATTTGCTATCAGTGGAAGGCCATGCAGAATAAGAAAAAAGCAAATTGAGAAAGAAAGCTATCTTTTTAGTCTCTTGTTTGTGTGTGTGTGTATATATATATATATATATATATATATATATAATTCTCTCCCTCAATCACTTTACATTTAGTGGTGATTGAAATAAAGTTGAAGCTACTACTACTACCCATGTGATAGCCCATTACCCCATAACATAAAACATGATACAAGGAAGTTTCATAGGGCACAGCTTTAGTACCAAGGTTTCCACAAAAGGGTCCATCACAGGGTTTAGCTTTGACACTAAGTTTCCTATTTGTGGGCCCTTTTTTAATAGCCTTATCTGAGCCCACAAAATCCAAGGAAAGAGATATCTCCATTTTTAGATGTTGCATTTATCCAAGTACTGGGATTCTTCAATATATGTCATGGAATGGCAGGGAGACCTAGAGTGTGATTAATTTCTTTACTATATATTATGTTTCCTTTTCAACCACACTTATTAATTGATCATGGAGTTTCAGTTTCAAAACTGGTCATGAACAGATAGATGAGCTACTCTAATTATATATATATATATATATATATATATATATATATATATATATATGCATGGTTGACACAAATAAGACATATTCAACTTCACTTATGACATATTTTTTTAATTGCTTACCATAAGAAAAGAAATATCTCATTCTTTATTAGATGCATGATTGTTAACAATATTTTGAAGCCATAACTAATGCTAAAAAAAAAAAAGCAAAAATGTTTCAATGACAAACATACAACCAACAGGCCTGTGGCTTAGCGGTATAAGGCTCCTACTTCCTAAAGGGAGGTCAGGAGTTCGAACCTCAGTGGAAGCAGTGCATGTGAGTCCCAACTAGGAAAAAAAAAAAAACATACATGTTTTGGGAACTTAAAACACTTTAAAAAAAAAAAAAAAAACAACTTAAAACACTTGCATTGATCCATGTATAAAAATGCTACACACATAACTCTGTATAAAAAAAAAAAAAGAGCTGAAGGAGAAATTTTTTCACAATTATCAGCACAGAGCTATAATTTAGAATAAAAGAGATATCCCATAATCTATTTTCTATCATTCCAAAATGATTACGGGATACCAACTCACAACTAGGGACTTTCTTTCCTTCTTTCCTATTCTTCTCAATAAACAGAAATTAACACACACCAGTAAACGTCCAAGAAAAGTTTTTTTTACTACTAATTGATTTCTATATAACTAGTATGGTATACATACAATGACTAGAAGAATGAAAAGAAATGAAACATGCATGTCATCAGACCACTTAATTACGATGGGCTTAGAATTTTACTTTGTCATTCCAAAATAAATTGTTTTCTTTTCCCTTTTTTTTCTTCTCAGCAACCAATCAAATCCAAACGGAAATCTCAAATTAATGAGCTTGAAAATGCCATGTACTTATTAATAAGGATGAGATCGAACACAATAATTTGAAAATTAACTACTACAGCTAGCTAGCTTCACCTTGAAGGGTTGCTCAAAAGGCCATGAGAGACATTGTCTTGAGGCACATTTGATCTGCTTCCATGTTGAATTGGTAGCTCAGGCCTTCTAGGGTTCTCAATATCAAACATTGAATCCTCAGAATTATCTCCGGATGACCCATTATCAAAAACGTCTGATTGTCCTAAATGAGCAAAAATAAAGAAACCCTTTTAATCTAAACTTGTAATGTTTTGTCTATAACATATTTACATGCTTCCAATTAACATTTCAAAACAATTCACAGAAATAAGCATGAGTGTTTAACCAGGAGAAGCTGCAGCTCTATGATCAGTGGTTTTTACCGTCCGATACATCTGCAATAAAATTATAATTCAAATAAGACTATGTACATCTGATCCTCCCATGTGGTTCATCAAAGTATTATATATCTGAAAAATGAAAACAGTCACAGATGCTAATATACCCTTACGTGTAATATAGAGTATAGACATGGTCTGAGATACAGTGCAAGTATATATATACACAGCCACACAGGTACATGATAACTTGTACAGTATTTGTGTATGAATAACCTATGTATATGCAAACTAACCATGGTTAGTCTGATGTGGTTAACAAACCTAAGAGATGCAGATATCGATCATTGAGAAATGATAGTTTTCGTACTTTCTTATTTGCTTACACTTCCTCTCTGTAAAAGTAGAAAACTGTGTTCTCTTATTTATATTAAATTATGGACCGTGTCTTGACTTTTTTTTTTTTTTTTTTTTTAAATTTCTTGGACTTTGTCTTACTTGTTATCTTCTGACTGATGAATGACTGACTGTATTTCTCTCTCTCCCTCCTACTGTGACTGATCTTTTCTTTTACATGAATGGTTCATGCTTCAAAGCAAAAAGCTGCAGAATAGCTTGCAGAACCATCAGATCTAGTGGAAAAAGAAGTGATGAGGGATATAAAAGACCTCCCTGCAAGCAAATTAACATTGGAATTTGAAATGTATGTATGTAGGTGTGTATGTATGTGGAGTATATATTAGCACTCTCCATGTAATGTAAGTTGTACAAATGCAAGTTTCATCTAATTCACCATAAACACCATTTTCAAGTTCATCAATTGCACTACAATTTCAAGCTACTGTATAATAATATGTAGCACACAAATAATTAAAGAAATCAATTAATTGAGAGAGTAATTAAATTCAATATTGATCTAATTTATCTATGAAGAAGAAATCTTTTGAGACTATGAAGAATTAATTTAGATGTTTGTTTACCTGTAAATGGGACTTAACATGTGCCAAGGTGAGATCTTTCACATCCATGAGCTCAAGAACCGACTTGGGTGTCGCTCCTAAACCCAAAAATAAACCCAAAAATAAAAAAATAAAATGAAGGATTAATTAGTGATGAATTTCACCCATATTTGATTTTACATTTTTTGGTTGAGGTGATCAGGAAGATGATACAGAGACCACACTAGATTATGACACTTTATATAGCAATGCGTACACACCCATAATTTTATCTGAACTGGGGCTTCATATATTTAGACATGAAAAGGTGTAGGAAAAAAAAAAAAGAAAAAAAAAAGAGACAAAGTTGAAGCCTACTTTCATGGCCACCCAAGAGCTCAACGGCATGAACAAAGCGAGCATGGAGGGTAGTAGTCCACCGCATCCGAGGCGCTCTCATGCTCCGTTTGGCCGGAAACCGTGGCAAAATCCTTGATCTCATTAACCCTTGGGAGTAGTGGAAGTGAGTAGCAGCAGCAGAGGAAGAAGATGATAAAGTAGTTGTGTCTTTAGGCTGTTGATGAGAAAATGTGAAGGGTAGTGGAGGGTTTTGGTAAACTGGAATTCCTTTGATGGGTCTCAAGAAAGCGAGCTCTGGACTAATAAGCCCTTGACGATGATGTTCTTTTTGTTGTTGATGATGTTGATGTTGGTAGTGGATAAGGTTAAGATTGGTGGTGTCATTGTGAAGGAGGTGAAAATGGTTGGAGCTTGGATTGAAAGATCTCGGATTTGTCGGATAAGAATCGGGTTCGGGCATTGAAGAGATGGAGTTTCTGGAGTTCCAAGAAACCGAATCCATCTCTCCTTCTGTTCTGCTCCAACCTGATGTGGGTTTGGTGTTTGGAGGGCTGATTTGTAGAGATAGGTCTGGTTGTGCTGGGAAAAGCTCCATATTAATTCTCCAACCGAACAAGCCCTCTATTCTTCTTCTTCTTCTTCTAGGTTTTTCTTGTACTTATTTGGTTGATTAATAGTAGGTACTACGATTTATCAAGGATCAGAGAAAAGCCTTCTTGTTGGGGAGTTTTGATGGTCTGAGTTTTGAATTCTTCGGTGAGAGATTTATGGGTTTTCCCTTCATTTGATGATCAGTCGAGGGAGTGGTTGCAGAGATTTGAGAGAGAGAGAGAGAGAGGAAATGACAAGGTATGAAGTGAATGGTTGTATCTCTTGTGTGAAGTATATGTGAGAAAATGACACTTGAGGAGCTACAGAAGGGGGGACACACACAGAGTGCATAATTTGTGGACGTGGGGGTAGAGTGAGAAGGTAAAAACAAATCAGGAAAAGGTTACAAAAGAAAAATAAATAAAATAAATAAATAAAAAAGAGTGTTGATTAATTTTTAGAGTTTGATTCCTTTTTTCTTTCTTGATTTGAATTTTTTTTTTTTTTTTTTAGGAAAGAAAGGAAATTTTACCATTCTAAAAAAAAAGAGATGGAAATTTTAGGGATTTTTTTTTGCAACTATTTACAGATAACTATAAGAGACAAGGATGAGAAAATATATATATTTTTTATTTTATAACTAATTTAGTTTTTACAAAACTGAAGTAAGCAGATTTTTTTATTTATAATTTTTTATTTCGGTTTTTTGAAACTAAAAAATTTTTATTCCAAGTGATAAACCAGACACATTCTTAGAAGTTTCGGCCTAACATCTTCCGGTGCATTTATATCGTAACATGCTAACATTATATTCTAAATATTCTCTAATACGTAAATTTAAATAATTTTAAATAAAAAATACAATAATAGTGTAAATATTTTTAATAGAATTGCAACAAGATTAATATGTTGTATTTTCGACTACTGTTATTGTACTGTATTTTCCCATTAAAATACAATAAATTATAGTGGACCCAAAATTTGTAAGAGGATATGGTACTTTAACGTCAGCAATTGTCTCTTAACAACTTTCTAACAATTACTCTACGTTGAGCTCCAAACGTGTGGCTGATGTCTCTTTTCCCAAGCCCTAGATCGAACATATTTTCATAAAGATCGAATGTTAAAATCATAGTAAAAATGCATGCTTTCGCTACTTATACTCTTAAATGGGAAGAGAAAACTGCATAAACAACTATTTTAACGGTAATTTTATCAGCCGGTCTCCTTTATATATACATATATATTAGTATATACATATGTATGTATATATGTATTTCTTATTTTACAAAATTTTACATTCTAGGGTTTGTTATACATAATTACTTTTTTTTTTTTTTTTGGCAAACAAAGGAAACACTAAAGCCTAGTTTGGTGTGATGGAATGGGTTGGAATAGAATGACCATTCTACTTTTCTGATTCCCTTTCTCTGGTTTGGTGTACTACATTAAAAGTGAAATGACCGTCCTCTCTGAAAAGTTCATTTCTGCTTTTAGATGAAATGACCATTTTTCTTCTGGACTTGTGGAATGGCCATTCCATTCCCACTAAATTAAAATATTAAATGCAAGGACAAAAAAGCTCATACACATTCTTCTCATACAGATCTGGCATAGTAACTCTCCTCTCTCACTATGTGACAGTACACCCTCTCTCTCCTCTCTCCCTTTTCACACTGCACTGTATACCATGAAATATATATATATTGCATTTATATATTTTTACACATTTGCATCACTTGCTTGCCAAAGAAATATAAATGGTCAAACCAAGACAAAAGATAAAAAGTTTTGCATTTACGATAGAAGTTTGATTACAAGTATATATTTATACATATTGGCATGTGGAAAGTATATATAATATCACTCTCTATTTTGCAATTGTGCAACACAACTGCAAAATAGAGAGTGATATTATATATACTTTCCACATGCCAATATGTATAAATATATACTTGTAATCAAACTTCTATTGCACAACTGCAAAATAGAGAGTGATATTATATATACTTTCCACATGCCAATATGTATAAATATATACTTGTAATCAAACTTCTATTGTAAATGCAATTTTTTTTTATCTTTTGTCTTGGTTTGACCATTTATATTTCCTTGGCAAACAAGTGGTGTAAATGTGTAAATTCAAGTAGTAATAATTCTTTTAAACCTATATTAGATCATTTTTAACAAATATTTGTTACATCTTTGATACTATGACAAACAGGTGATACATTTGTCTTGCATTTTATAATATAATTTTTTTGAAAGAAAACATATATATACATTACACATTATAAGATAATTGTATTTTTTTTGCATTTTATTAAAATGCATTAATCGGTATAAGCTAGTTTTATTATATAATAAGAATACGTCATTCTATTTTAATATAATTGATATATTACCAGCAAGAGTATTTTGGAGAAACTAATTTATAAATCATTTCATTCCAACTTTTTATTTGATCTAACCAAACATAAGAATGAAAATGGTTATTCCATATATCCCCTGTTTTGCATCCAAACAGTGGAATGGGGACGATCATTCAATTCCTATATCATTCTCATTTCATTCTCACTTGTATTATATTCCTTCCTCTTTTTATTCTTGCGCACCAAATATGCCCTAAAAACTACAAACTACAGGCATGATTACAATCTAACATTTCTATCTGAAACACATCATCAGGAATTTGAGACAGAACAACATCAGCATGCATTGTTATATATAATTACTTACTAATAATCATTCATGTGATTATGACAAGACCAGACCGTAAAAATTGTTATATGTCTATGGGTAATTTTAGATTCACTCTGTATTTTGTCCTTATAATAGTACCACAAGAAATTGAATTATGTATATAATAGCATGGGGGCATTATCTATTGGTCTCGTTGGTAGTACATGCAGATCTCTGCACGGGTGCATTCGTGTTTGAGTTTTCATTCTCTAATTTTTCAGGAAAAAAAATATATATACAGAAGTCACAGTATAGGAATGGCTTTGATGTGCCTAATCATGCAATAATTTTATAATAATTTTAAATTGATAATACAACAATTAGATAAATGAGTTAAAATATTGATTTAATGGTGTTATAAAGTTGCAATACATATACATGAATATTGTATATTCCATATAAATATATTGCATAATTGTTATTGTATTTTGTGATATAATTGTGTTATATTGTGACGTGGTCCATTACACTTAAGGAGGGCGCACAAAAAATCGTTGAAATAAAAAAAAATCGGTACAAATTATTGGTTTGGTTCAATTTCGATTTCAGGTCCATTAAGACCAAACTCTAAACTATATATATAGTACTCCCTCCGTCCCATATTAGTTGTCCGCATCAAAAACTTTGACTTATAATTTTATAGAAATAGACATTTAATATGAGATATAGGTACTATATAAGTATAAAAAATAAATATGACTAAAAAAGATCTCAAATGACTCAAACATAAAAGGTGATAGTGAGTCAAAGTTTTTAAAATTGACAACTATTATAGAACGGATGTAGTATAATATTACTAATATAAAACACAAGATTAGTCTACAGGTCTTCATGCTTCGTCAGATTTTTTTCCCTCATTATGAAAAATTGTATGCATTCAATATTACAGTAAGGTAAAACCCAATAATTTTTATTCCAAGGTTAGATATTTTAATATTTCTAATCTCGTTTATTCTAAGTCTACACGACTTCGTACTAAGAAAAATTATATGCATTTAATATTATATTCTAATATATTAACCATGTTTATCGGTAAGATACAACTCAATAATTTTTATTCAATGCTTTATCAGAGGTTTAAGATACAACTCAATAATTTTTATTCAATGCTTTATCAGAGGTTTGGGGAGATCTTTAATTATAAGTTTTTAAGGTTTCAGAATTGTGATTCAGAACCAAATAGAATCCGCTTGGAATTGATTCAATGACGATTTACCTAGAGATGTATGCATGCTATATCTAGTAATTATAATTTATGCATGTGTTTGGTTGGTCATCAAGTGAAAGAATGTGTTAAATGATAGTATATATATGATAATTGTGCTGACTCTAAAAATTGAACTTTTAAAGCAGTAAATGCTAGCTAATGGTTTAGCTTTAATTTTAATGCATATATGTTTGTTCAATAATCTGATTTTTAAACACAATATGAATTCTGATTTTTTATTTTATTTATTTAGTTTTGGAAAGGTTTCTTTTTTTTCTTTTTTCTTTTTTTTTTTCTTTTTTTTTTTATAACCTAGAAAAGGTATTGTATATGAGTTCTGATTTTAGAATGAATAAGAACGGGACCTATTTTTATTCGAGGAGAGGATTAAGTGGGCGGTAATTATTATACAAATTGCACTCAAATGGATGAGAAAAAAGAGTGTACATTTGGGGTGCTAATTTATGAAATGAGATCCCCTAAAAAAATATTATTATTATTATTATTATTATTATTATTTAATGTAATAAGACATTAGAGAAGAGAGTTGATATTTAATATTAGCGCTCTACATTAAAGAAGAGAGTTGATAGTTAATATTAGCGCTTTACAAATATACTTAGACGCTCTATTTTCTTACTTTTTAAAAATAAAATTACTCCGTACAAAATAGTCCTTGAATCATACAAAACAATTTTAATGTCATATTTACCCTTTACTCTATTGACTAGAATTCCTTTCATCTGTTTACCAACAACACAGAATCCTTGCAACACATCTCCTTGTGTGTGTGTGTGTGTGTGTGTGTGTGTGTGTGTGTGGATTCTTTGTTGAAAGCGAGAGTTATTTTGTGGGTTTAAGGGTTTTTTTTAATAAAAAAAAAAAATTATTTATAGGTGATAAGGGGAATTTAAATCGAGTAAAGATAATCTCAGCACAATTTGAAATTCAAAGGAACAAATCGTCTCCTCAACAAATCTCCACTGATCTTGCAACGAATTGAGGGAGAGCAGGCTATAAAAACGAGACCCTACCAGTCAATCAGGTAAGACAAAAACAATTATTAAATCCCTACCTTTCTTTTAGACCTCTGATGACTAATTTGATCTTCAGAGAACTCTTGGCAGGCACTACACCAGTGTCGTCAAGATTCATCGATTTTCTCCTCTCTTCTTTGCAGAAAAACGGTGTCGTACAGGGCCGTGCAGATTTATTCCCTAACAGTTGGCGCCGTCTGTGGGAACGACGATTCCCTTAAATCAATATGTTACTCAATTGGCACCACACCGGTGTCGTCAAGATTTATCGATTTTCTCCTTTCTTCTTTGTAGGAAAACGATGTCGTACCGAGCCGTGCGAATTTCTTCTCCAGCAGTTGGCGCCATTTGTGGGAACGACGATTCCCTTAAATCAATAAGTTACTCGGTTAGATATATGCGTTTACGGTCCGGTATGGTTACTGGAGAAGAAACATCGTTGCGGGGATCCAGTCAAAGGGAAGGGTAGGGTGAACACCCAAACGTCCTAAATGACCAGGAACGGATTGCAACGTTGGAACTACATGTCCAAACTCTTAATCAGGGTATGGACCAGTTGATCCAGCAAAATACAGCGATCCTGCAACATCTTGTCCCAACAGGACCACCACCTCAACAAGAATTGTCCAACGGACATCCAGATCCTCCCAATCTGAATGATGAGGGAGAAAACACGGAGGATTAAGATAACGATCCTCCTCACGAGTTCGAGGCAGAACAAAGCCAAGTTGGGAACCAACATAGAGAACCT